TTACTTTTCATAATTGCTGGGTACCAAAATCAAGAGTGTATGTACGTACACTAGATATAAATATATTATTAATCTGTTTACCTACCTACCTATCTTACCGACGTAAACAACAACACTGTATTTCAACTACCTTTTTCATAATAACAGAACATAGAAAAGTAAAGAGGAGGTGTGTGGCGCAGTGGGTTGTGCGTTGGTGTTGTGATCAGGGGAGCACAGGTTCAAACCCCACTGCAGTCAGCATGTCGTTGTGTCCCTGAGACACTTCACCCCAAGTTGCTCCTGTGGGGATTGCCCACAGTATTGAGTATGTAAGTTGCTTTGGATAAAAGCATGTGACGTAATGTGATGTGAAGTCATGGCTGTCACTTATTACCTTGCAAAACATTTTGAAATATGGAGAAATGTTTTATCATTTATTATTTATGTATTAAAATCTACATTATTGTTCGGAGCAAATTAGCCAGGACATAAGTGTCATAACGACCCGTCCACACTACAGCTTCAAAAAAAGCTTGCCGGCGGGCGTGTTTGAAGCTCGACAAACAACCAATCACATGAATCTTTATTTGCTAGAGCTTGTACTGGCATATGATTTGATTGGCTGACGCTTCCACCGAAAGCTTCCGAAGCTTAAAAAGTTGAACATTGCTCAACTTTTGCAAACGCCAGGAAAGCTCCGCTCTGCTACCCACAATTCAGTTCGGCGAAAAGCGAGGCAACGTGACGTCACCCCGTTCAAAGTGAATGGGCAGACGCGTTGGAAAGCGTTTTTGAAGCTGTCGAAGCTGTAGTGTGGACGGGCCGTAAGACTTATTTATTTATGGAGTTAATTGATCACTTAGAATCAAAACTGATTTCAGAGGCCGGCACAAAAACAGCATTTATGTTTAGTCATATAATTACTGTTAGGGAATAATTTGCTTAGGTATTCAACCTTCGACACAGTTCATCATGTTCTCCTCTCACTGTCTCCTTTCCCATGGCATAGGTCTACGGCCTTGGGTACTGCTGCTATCTCTCTTAAGGAGGAGCAGCTTGGGCGCATTGTTGTTGCCAGTCTGTGTAGGCTGTAGTTAAGAAGAAGCGGATTTACATTGTGGTGTGGGTGGGAATTGTTTAAGTTAAGAACAGATTTGGGGAATCAAGTCCCACGAGGGAGAAACCGTACGGCTAGAAGCATAAGGCATGAACGGCGGAGAACGCAAAGAGAACGGTCCGTCACGGGGGGACCGCAATAGTCACCGAATTAGTGGGTCTGTCCCACACGGAGACAGCTCCGTTTTAGCTTCGCAACCGCTGGAAGAGCTGGCAGTAGGATAGTGGCAGGGCGCGGTACGTGCGCGGTAAGTTTCCCTCCACAAAAGCAGCGGAAGAAGCATGGTTGTCGATGGTGTGCCCCTGTGCTGGTTTATTCGTCCGTGGTGGGGCCGATGGGAACCGGGCAGAGTTTTCAGCAGTCAACGTGTATTGAAGTTTAGGAAGTCTCGGCAGGAAGAGGAGAGAAGGAGGCCAGCAAGTGAGGTCTTCTTTGCTATTGTATGTGAGACTTTAAAACGGAGAATGGATATGACGGAATTGCGAGAGATAAGTAGGTAGAGGAATTAAAGAGACACGAGCTCGTCCGTTGTTTCCTTGCCCGTCCGTCTGACAGGGGCGGCATTGTCTGACTCGAGTGAGCGAGCGAGCCAGTGAGTGAGGACCGCGACAGGAAATATAACGATAGTTATGAACTGAGTTTAGTAGTTTGGAGGTAAGTAGAAATAGCTGAAGTGGCGATGATGCTGACTTTGAAGTGTGTGTTTTGCTCCGTTCCACCCGCGCACGCGCGTGCGATCGACAGCGGGAGGACTGCAGGGTGAGCAGAGCTGGCGGGCTGCCGTCCGTCCTGTCGAGGATAGGGACTTCACTGCATGTTTGATGGTTCCAGTATGCGAGAGGAAGATAAAGTAATGTCTGAATGTCAGTGGTGAAGTGTTACTTGACGGGGGGTGAGCAGCAGGAGGTGGGAAGGGTAGGGGGGCGTATGCCGGCAGCAGTAAAATGAATCGTATAGAGGCCGTACACACGGAGCCGTTGGACCCCCCCAGAGCGTTGCTGTATGCGTTCTATCCACCTTGGGACCCCGTATCGTTTCCGCAGTTTGTTACTGTCCCATATTCGGTGGTGTCGTGCCCTGTGTGGCCGAACGGTCGTTATAGGTGACACGTGTAACTGTTAACGTCAGAACGATCCGTTTTCTGTGGGGTCTTGGGTGGTCCGGGGTGCTTTAATATCAATAGAAGCACTGTGAGAGCAGGATACCTGTGTGGTTGTGCAATGTCTTGTGTCAATGTGTACTAAGGTGAATGGTCCCAGGAGGGCTGGGTGGGTGTCCAGGCCACGCTAGTTAGGTCAGTTGAGCTAGTCGTGTCTATCGTTCCTGTGTGCCATTTGTTAGCGAACTGCTCTGGCACGTACATCTGAGTCATGCCGGGAAAGTTACCTTGCCCAGGGAGTACAAGCTGTGCGAGCGAGATAAGCCCGGCAGGAAGGTAACGCGCGCGCGCGCGAGCGCGTATATGACTGGGTTTAGACACTCCGCCTCTCAATTTGGATTGCTACTTTTTTTATTATGAGTGGGGCAGGCAATGGCGGATCGTGGACCTCACATCGTTCCGGGAGAGTGAGCGCAAGAGGAGCGGAGGAGCTGATAGAGTTTTGATGCAGATATAGATTCCGGTGATTAGTGGACGACGTTAAAGGTGGTGAAGAAGTGTAAAGATGGTTATATTTTACGGATATGAATGCAGTATCAGTGTGTTGAGTTCTATATGTGTTAACCATAGTGTATTAAGAAAGTTGTCAGTGGATATCCCTAATAGTAGATTTAGGAACGTTTACTAACTAAGCTAGATTCGGTCGTGCAACACACGTTGAAACAGCCTTTTTCCGTATTCTTGATCATTTCGTCCACGTTTTGAATAGAGAGGGCTTCTAAAAGGGACTTGTATGCGGGGTGGAGAGTTAAATATTAGGTAAATATAACTTATTAGGTGCGTGTAAGAGTGAGAGTGATTTTTAGCAGAGCCTATTGTGATCCTTGTATCATGTTGGAAATTATTACCTGTTACTGTATAGATAGTGCAGCTCAAGTGATTTTAGATGATGGCAAAGGGAGAGGGACTTAGTGAGAGTGATAAAACAACAGGTAAGATATTTAATCTACTGATTTTTAGTATAAGTAAGCATACTAAAACAGTGTATTCTATCAACAGTAATATAATCATAAGTATTATCTTGTTAGGGTAACACTTACGTGTATGGCAGGTTAGAGGGGCATGATGTTATTACAGTGGAGGAGGAACTTTGCAAGTACGTTGCATAATCTTTTCACAAGACAGAGAATCAAAAGGTTTTGTTCTCGACAGATGAAGAGTTGATTCACTTCCATATATTTTGTCAATATTTTTCTAAAAGAATAGGATAATGCCAACAAAAAAAAGACTTGAGATCTTGACAACCTAAAGACGAACATGATGCAGACATACATTGGAGTTAGAGAGCCACCATGAAGGTTTTTTTCAAAGGTCCTCCTCTTATCCATTTGCCAATCCCAAAATTTCCAGGAGTTGACATGACGGAGACACCTTGCTTTGGTGTTGTTGTTTGCGACTCCTCTGCTGCGGTTGCTGTGCAGAGCTGGAGGGCAGTGATGTTGTGACAGGGTGAGGGTCTCAGATGAGGTATCAGGCCTCCATTGGATCCCCATCTGATTCTTGGTTCAGCTGAACAGAAGGGCAGTCACAGACAGGTACAAAGGGTTATACACAGCCTATACTTAGCAGAGTCTTATTCCTTGGATGGGGAATTTGCCTTGCAGAGAGTGTAAGCCGCTGTTGGTCTCGCGCACGCAAAGCTGAAGTTATGTGAACCTTTCTATATTTGTCATTGTCATTTCACAAAGTATGACAAATGCCATCAGTAACAGGATGTGATATGAATTGTTCTATAAAGCATTTGTCTCACATTCAGAGCTCATATTTTTGATTATACAGTATGTAATGAGTAAACATGCTCAGTAAGCTATAAAGTCGTTTCCTAGTAATACTGTGTTTCAACCACTATTGGAATATTATGTGGTCAGACAAAACTGAGTGGTTCGTGTGTGAAGTAACCCTCATAGTCACTTCCGCAGGTCCACATTTTGTATGCAGGACCATGTCAAGACAAAAAAGGGCATGACTAGGCTGAGAGCAGAGTCTATACCTCTACCATCTCGTGCATCGCCCTGTGGTCAATAAGAGACAGTGTCCTCTCTTGTCACCACGATTACAACCCTGACTGTATCTACAAAGCCCATAGTCATGATCACAGCTATAGTGTGAAAGGCTGACACAGGTATAATTAGTATGAACTCTTATGTAACAGAAAGTCATATTTCTTAGATTCTAAGTGGCTACTATCATCTTTAAATGTTTCGAAAAGTCTACAGTGCCATGTCTTTCTACTTTACATTGAGTCTCAAAGATTGAGGAAAGAAAGGGCATGAGGAGACTGAGAGAAAGGAAGGAGTGAGGGTGAAGAAAGAGAGGACATGGCTAGTGGAGGAGAGACAGTCGAGGAGCGGATGACAGCCATCCAGCTACGCGCGCCAGCAGGGCGCAGTACGAAATCTCACGAGGGAACCAGCAAGCCAGTCAGAATTACAAGGGAACCAGCAGCCAGTCGCATACGGAGGGAACCAGGCAGCCAGTCAACACCAGATCTATTAAAAAATTAAATTAAAGAGAAAATAAGGAAGAGCCAAGAAGGAATCACCAAAAAGCAAAAGTCTGCACTAAGAAAATCAGGAAGGAAAATGCAGTCTCAGAAAAACAATGAAAATTAGGGAAACAAATATAAGAAAACGTTTTCGAAAAGACCAACTAAGGGCATTAGGCAGACTCACCACCAAAGGGGATGAAATGGAGCAATGAGACAAATTAAGAAGGCTTTTAAAAATTCGCTTTGCGTGCGGACCCAACTGGTTACAAAACTCTGCAGGAATTGCAGATTCCCCTTCCAGGAATAAGGACACTGCAAAGAAGGATGCAATTGTGTTAAGTTTGAGCCGTGGTGTGAAGCAGGTTAACATCAATGCCCCTCCACCGTTAAGCATTCCACTGCCCCTCCACCTGCCAACATCACTGCCCCTCCACCTGCCAGCACCCAGCCAGAGGAGCGCAAACCAACGAAAAACAAGCCAAGGTGTTCCCGTCATTACCTGGAAGTCTTGGTTGGCAAAATGGAGTAAGAGAAGGGACTTGAAAAACCTTGGTGGCCCTCTACTCATGTTGTTACAGTTGTCTTGGTTGCAGCTCTCAAGTTTTTTTTTGTTGGCCATTTCCACAATCTTTAGAAAATATGAAAATAAATGAAGTGAAATCAACCTCTTCTCTGGAGAACAAACTTGATTTTCCTCTGTCTTGGTGAGTTGCAGTCTTTGCAGTTTTGCCTCCTCCACTGTAACATCCACTGCCCCTCCACCTGCCATACAGTAGGTTACTACAAGATTACTTATATAATACAGTTGATAGAATACATGTTTAGTATGCTTACTTATATAAAACAGTAGTATTAAACTTACCTTGTTGTTTTTCACTATCACTTAAGTCCCTTTCTCCCTTTGCCATCAATCCAAATCAGCTGAGCTGCAACATTATACAGACAGGTAATAATCATCAACATAATCACAAGGACACCAATATGGCTCTGCCTAAAAACACTCACTCTAACACGCACCAAGTTATATTTTTCTAAATATTTAACCCTCCACCCCGGCATACAATCCCTTTTAGAAGCCCCTCTTTCTCTAAATTCAACAACGTTGGACGAAATGGACGAAATAGACATTAAGAGAACGGAATTTACAATTAAAAGGCTGTTCAACGTGTGTTGCTAACTTGATCCGGAATCCTAGCTTTATCTGTTATCTGTAAACGTTCCCTAAATCTACTAATTTAGGGATAATCCACTGACATCCTTTAATACACATGTTAAATTGAATCAGATGTACTGATCATATCCGCAATATAAATCTTTAAACTTCTTCTTACCTTTAAAAGTCTGTCACGAACGGTCTATTATGCTGCAACTCTACAGCTCTGCTAGCCTTGGCGCTAACTTCCGGGGAACGATTGAGAGGCTCCACGATCCGCCATTGCTGTAAAAAAGTGGTCCATTGGAGTGAACGGAGATGACTTAACTCTCAGTCTATACGGCGCTGGCGGGGCCCAGTTTACCTCCTGTCCCTGTGTGTAACGTTGTAGACAGTTGTAGCCTCCTGGGAGCCAAGGTAAACTTCCTCTGGCACCGCCCTCAGTCCAACGTCCAGGCAGTTCGCATGGACAAGGAGATGGAGACTGCCTGCTTAGCGTGGCCTGACACCACCCAGCCTCCTGGGCTACTTTCATTGTTTGACAAGCATTGACAACACGGTATCTGCTTCAAGTGCTTTATTGATATTAAGACCCCGGCCCCACAAGGACGAAAACGGTCGTTTGCGTTACTGTTTAGTGTCATATAGACCGTTCGGCCACACAAGGACGACCGAATATGACAGTAAACAACTGCGGAAACGATAACGGGTCCCAAGGTGGATAGAACGGCATACGCAACGCTCTGGGGGGTCCAACGGCTCCGTGTGTACGCCTTATACGATCATTTTCTGATGAGGCAATAGCCCCGCCTCTCCCCACCTCTGCTGCTCACCCCCCCGTCAAAGTAAACTTCACACTGAATTCAGATTATTTATCTTTCTCTCGATATGGACATAAACATGAGTGACCAGGTAGTCATATCATTAGCTAGAACTAGCTGGATCTGATCGATATGGACATAAACGCGAGTGAAGTCTAATCTGGCGGGAGAGAGAGATCAGCTACTGCTGACGAGTCGACACGCAGCTCTGCATGATCACATGCAGCGGTGAGCGGACAAAACACACACTTCAGGTTAGAATATCACACGTAGCTATTTTATTTACCTCTCAAACTACCTAAACTAGTTATAAATATGTTTATTTTTACTGTCGGGTCACTCATTACTGGATCAGCTGCTGCATGAGATAGACAATGACGCTGTCAGAAGAGAGGGAGGAAAAAGAGAGGCTCCGTGTATTTTATTATTATATTATCTGGATTCGTTATTCATTTGTTTTAAAGTTCAATAAATAGCAAAGAAGACCTTTGACTGGCACTTTTATAATTTTGTCCGGAAGATTTAAACTTTAATACACGTTGACTGCTGAAAAACTCTGCCCGGTTCCCTCGGCCCCCACCACGGAGAATAAACAGAAGGGCAACCATGACAACCATGCTTCTTCGCTGCTTTTGTGGAGGAAATTACAGCGCCACGTACAGGCTCCTGCATATGTACTGCAGCTTCTCCAGCGGTTGGAGCTAAACGGAGCTGTCTCGTGTGGACAGACACTATCCGGTGAATATTGCGTGTGGACGGAAGCTTTTTTGCGTTTGCGTTAATCCTATGCGTTTAGCCGTATTTCTCCTCGTGGGGACTTGATTCCAAATCTTTCTAATTAAAAATTCCAACCACAGAAAATGTAATGGTTCTTTTAATAAAGCTACACAGATATTCACATTCAAAGCAAATGTTGAAATATTGAAAATAAATACGTATTACTGCAGGAACGTAATTCCTTTTTGTCAGGTGTGGAAAAGTACTCATCTTTTTAACTCACTAACCAGCTGCAGTTCATTTGACCAACATCCTGGTCCTCAGGATCACTGCTTCCTGTTGGAACACCTTAAAACACACTTTGTACAACATTCAGAATAGGCAAAATGTCTGAGCACATGGTGCTTTTTCATGTGACTCTACACAATGATACAGTGCTTCTAATACTGTGCCCTTCTTTTCCTTTGTCAACTTTCTGTATGTGCAACTCTTCCTTCTTCTGATCATGTTACCTTGTCTTTTTTCAAACACATCTCTATGTGAAGTGCACTGAAAGTGACAGAATGGACCCTGACACTTAGTACGTAGCACACTGTGCTCAGTTCAGGCAGGTCTGACGGGACGGTACTGGCAGGATGTCCCAGCAGCCTCTCTGGGTGCAGGCCGGCTGAACCTCACTTCCTGCTACCTCAACACGCAGGGAGGGGCGCATGCTCTCAGACAAAGATCCCTCAGGACAAATCCCTTCACTGCTGTCCCTTCACTCTGTCTCATCTCTTGTGGAAGCTGGGGCTGTGCATGATCTTAGAGAGCTGCCCAAACAAGTCCATGGCATCCACAGGTTCTTCTGTCGGCCTCCTCTGTTCCAGCTGCTCAGGGACATCCGGTCCAGGGTCAGGGACCTGATCCAGGCTGCTGACCCTGGGGAGGAACTGAGCCAGAGCCGGCATGCCTCGGTCCCGGCCCTGCTTCCTCTGCCGTGGGGTTCCCAGACTGAGCAGGGCCCCGTGTGTGACCGAGGTGTAGACACTGTAGCCGTCCGGCAGGATCTGCTCTCTGAAGGTGCAGGAGTCCCTGCTGTAGGTGGGCTGAGGAGCATACGGTCACGCATTAATCACAAGGCTCTGAAATTACACTACAGAGTGTTCTATGACTCTCTATGCATGGTTTTAATGCTTTTTGACAATGTAATAATACACAAACATAACAGATAACAATGAGATAACATGCAAAAAACCCATTGGGCTTTTTAAAGGCTCTACAGAAATGACACCCCAGCTGTGAAATTACACCAATGTGCAAGGATGTAAAAACACAAAAACACAGACTACGACACCACTGTCGTGCAATAACACTAATATTAAATGTATTATGAATGTTACTTGTAAATTGAAATCACTTTTTTTTATCTGATAAATAATGTTAAAAATCACAATTTTATATAAAACTCTAGTTTTGGGGTGTCCCTGGTGTGTCTAATTGTCTGATTGTGTTCATCTGTTGCCCTTGTGTTTCTCCTCCCCTGCCCGGCTGTTTCTCGTCTCTTGATTACCCCTCCCTGTATTTAGTCTTGTCTCTTCCTGTGTTCGGTGTTGGTTCATTGTTTGTCTTTCCCTTCATGTCACGCTCCAGGTTTGTCCTTGAAGTTTTGGTCCTGGATTATTTACTCGTGCTCTCCTGTTTTTGGTAATGCTAAGTTTGTCTCTTGTTTTCTTTTGTCATCGGCTTTTTTTTGTAAATTAAAGCTCGCTTTTTGTTAATACTGCATTTGGGTCCTACCTTTTCCACGCACCCTGACACTTGTTGCCACTCTTGGATATTAGGTATTGGTTCCTTTCCCAGCTGAAGGTAACCATGACAATCTGTTGCGACAGTCCAGTCAATCGTTTACAGAGCTATAAGTTAATTAAGTTATCAGAAACACGCTATATGCTCTTAACGAGGCTAACAGCATCCCTCCAAGCGTTGGAATTAAAGGGATAATATAAACTTTCTTTAATTAGACAATCATTTAAATTACCGGTACCAAAAGTCTCAGCCAATAACTGTCGCCTCTGGAGAACAAGAACCAGCAGAAAACCTAATATATATCCATAAACATTCATCTATTTTTCATCTTGCAATTAATGTATTCATCTAAAAAAGTTTCATTTCATCTTACTGTACAATATTTAATTTTACATTCTGTTCCTGTATATCAAATTCTATTTACGTGTACATAGACTTCTTGCACTAGCTTGTGACATTAACACCTTTGATCTGGAATTGAAAAAATATATAACTGAAATATGGTTTTCTGTATGTATGTAAAATGTATTTATTGATTCCTTAGCAAAAGAGAAACTCAAATGTTAGTTTGCTAAATGGCTTATTTGTTTGAATTACTGAAGCCATCCTTTGTCTCCACGCTCCACATCTTTTACCTCCTAGGGTTGTTCTGGCACCAAATGCCCAAATGTTAAAAAAACAAATCATGGCTGCCAATATTGGGCGTGAAGAATCCCAAGATGCATTCTGGCTAGTGTAGCGGCAGCATTAAGTTAAGATCAGAGGTACTTTATTGATCCCACATTGTGAAACGTTTGCGTTGCATCAAAACAAAACAAAACAAGGCATTGCACATAAGCAGAAATTCAACTCACGGCCATGACCTGCTGGCACATTCATCACGAATCTCATGTCTGGCCATCAAGAAATCATGATGGTGATGCAATGTTGTCAATTTAGGCCAATTTGTGGTTATTGACTGACCAAATGCAGCAACAACACTCTTCAAAACATCCTTTCAGAAGCCTTTAGGTGACGAGACATGATTTTAAAACTGACGAGAGCTTCACGAACTGACACTGAAGGGCTAACAGAACCGTTTAGCCGCATCTGCTAAACGGCTAAAGGACATTACATGCTATCAATGTAGTGATTCCACCATCACGGACAATTTGACAGCAACACCTCTGGTCCCTGTGGGGATGTGTGTGTGTGCTGTGCTCCCATAACAGCACACAGAGAAACATGATGAGCCATCCCTCAGCTCACCTTTCACCTCCGAGGATCTGCCAAACCACACCAGAGTGCTCTTTGTGCCCCGAGACCAGAGATGAAAAGGTAGAAGCGGAGCTAATGAATTGAGTTATCCCCGAGATGAGAGGCTATCTGAAGCCATCTCCACTTCACTGAGCTGAGCGCGTTGCTATGCGTCTGAGAGAAAGTCCTCAGGTGGCTTTGATGGTCTGATTTTAGCCCAAAGTAAACTAGTTTCCTCGATGTGTTAGCCATAAGTTAGAGTCTAGAAGCCAGATATCTTTTTCTGTCCTTTACCTTAAACAACATTTCAGAATCAAGATCAGAAACAGGGTTATTGCCAACTAGGTGTACACATATGAGAAATTAGCTATGATGCGTTGCTATGCGTCTGAGAGAAAGTCCTCAGGTGGCTTTGATGGTCTGATTTTAGCCCAAAGTAAACTAGTCTTCTCGATGTTTTAGCCATAAGTTAGAGTCAAGAAGTTATAAGTGTTTTTCTGTCCTTTACCTTAAACAACATTTCAGAAACAGGGTTATTTAGACCCTCCAGAAAAACGCGATTACCGCATAATCAGCAAAATGGCACAGATTATCAAAAGGCCGCATAATCCCCGCATTTTTCCACACAAAGTTGAGAAAAAAAAAAGTTAAGTTGTGTGTGTGTGTGTGTGTGTGTGTGTGTGTGAGAGAGTCTCTCACACACACACACACACACACACACACACACAACTTAACTTTTTTTTTTCTCAACTTTGTGTGGAAAAATGCGGGGATTATGCGGCCTTTTGATNCTCACATGTTGAACACAAATACCTGTACTTTCTACTTCTTACATGTTGAACACAAATACCTGTACTTTCTACTTCTTACATGTTGAACACAAATACCTGTACTTTCTACTTCTTACATTTTCCAAACAGGCTGGTTCCTTTAGTCTGAATGTGTGTTTGGTGGCGTGATCATTATTATTTAGAGTCATTGCGTGCCTATTGATTTGAACACGATCCGTGTATCCATCATTTCCTGGTCTTCTCTAAAGAAGAGGGACCAATGGAAACGTTGTCATGTTGCCGTTGTTCAGCATGGAAACATTCATTAGCTAACAATGACATTATTGTTCTATTAATATAAAGGGAGGTCAGGTACTCTTTAAAACAGCTGCTAGTTATGGGTACTTTTTACTGAAGTACATTTCAAAGCCTCTTTACTTTGACTTGAGTAAAGAAGTTTAGTCAGTACTTCTACTTTTACCAGAGTATTTTTAAACACGAGTATCTGTACTTCTACTTGAGTAAAGGATGTGTGTACTTTTGCCATCTCTGTATACATGCTATACGAGGAGTGGAAGGGATGGAGGAACACGTGGCCCTAGTAAACCAGTTAAGTTATTGCTCAGTGGTGTCACCTGGTGGTTCAGGGCATAATGGCGCCCATCTGTGTCCATCCATCCTTATAACACACTTCCAGTTGAACTAATTGGGAGCCTGTACTCGGTCACTGAAACTGTCAGTGAAGACAGGAGGTCCCAGCTGTCCAGCCACAATATTGAACAGATATTAGAACCCTTTCTCTAACCTCGCTGACATGAAAGCGGCTTTTAAGTTTATATATTGTGCGAGGGTTCGTGCATGTTGACAATCCCCGGCAGAATTATAACCACTCTGCAGTCCATCTTAGCTTTAAAGTTCTTTTTAGCATGTTTTGGTCGTTGTTTTGGATTTACAACCGTGAACTTTACACATTATGCCTGGCATCAATCAGCCGACCGCCAACGTTAGCCATGAGACGATTAGCATATTGGAGCATTTAGCAGCTAAAGAGCCCCATATTGCCCCGTCAAGGACAGAAGGGAGCTGAAACAGGAGAGAAAAGTGGACATACATTCATTAGATGGCCAGAAACCTAGCTCTAAATTAATGATAAAGTTAATTTCTGTCGGATGGATGCGTAACTGAGCCACTTTTGGTTGTATCAACTTTCTTGGGAGATTTTACCAATGTAGTTTTCAGATGTTCAACAGCGGCCAAAAGAACAACGAAAATGTATTAGTTTTTAAATAGAGATGGCTGTGTTAGTAATAACTCAAAATCATGTGTTGATCAAATATGATCCAGAGCACATTACATTTGGTTTGGATATTTACATCACAATGAATCTGCTTTGTTTTATTATTCTTAGTAAAGGGAGATTTTTAAGTGTTTTCCCATGAATTGGTAAACCCTGGGAGATATTCTTCCCAGTGCATGCTGGGATAGTTTCCGCCCTCAACATGACCCCTTCAAAGTATAGTCTGGCTTTAGAGAGAGTACTGAAAAACGAATGGATGGCAGAATTGAGTCATTCTGTCTTTAATAAATTCACCGTGTGACATTTATGACTTTTACACCACTGTACTTCTCTCCTTATTACCATGGAAATTAATGAAACCCCAGTGACCTTCACCTTGAACTCACCGAGTGAATTTCAGAGATTTCTTTTTCCAGTATTCTGGGGGTTTAAGCGCTGGTTGGTTGGTGGAGAAAGGTTTTGGAGGAGGGAAGCGGGGAAGTATTTTCAGATTGAAAACTGAAATGAGTACTGCTTGATTGAGTGTCTGAAATAAATGCATACGAGCAGATATTAATGAACAAAGGAAAATACATTAGAATAGCTAAACCAAAGAGTTGTTTTCTGTGTGAACTGACAGAGAGATAGACTGTCACTCAGTACTTATCCTACATGTCTTTACTGAGAGTGCCTATTCCCTCCTACCTATCACAACCTGAAATTATTATTATAAAGGAACCAGAGGAACAACTGCCACTGATTTCAACCAAGCAGTTTCTTTTATTTCTCCACTTTTATTCATGCTGTGATTTTCTGCTTTTTCACCAGCCTGCCTTATATTCCTATAAAAGCACTGACACACATATTACGGCTTAAAGAAGGAAGCTATAATTTGCTCATGCTGTGGCCACTGCCATGATTTATATTATGAGATAGGAAGGTCTTTTTCTAACACTTATAAGCTGCTGAAAAACTATAGTTGGTGGAGGGGTCGTTCACTAAACATCTCAGGTGGTGTGCTGGATCAAGAAGGACATTTGACATGTTATTGCAGACAATCCAGTGGTTTGTGAATGACTTTCTCTGAATAAAAGAATATTGGCAACAAATGACATGTCTTACAATATCAACAAAATAATAAGGTTGAGTATTTTACTTGTGTTTTATCCTACTGGGACCCGAGGAAAAAAAGTGTCTTCCAATTTCCTTTTTTGTGTGATTTCCTATTTAGGGTTAAAAAAACATCTTGCAATTTAGACTTTTTTAATTTAATTTAATTTTTAAATGTTACAGTATGTCCACTGTAGAGGACGTCGGGACCAGCCAAAATGAACAGATAGACTCTGTAACGTATTATGGTTATAGAGTGATATTAATACAATAATACATTCAGCTTTATTTAAAACATGAATAAGTAATTTATCTAAACATTGCTGTTTATTTGGTCACTAAAAAACTAGTTTGGTTTTTGGTGAATCTTTCCGGATCTTCAAAGACTTTNAACAGACTCCAGCGTGTCCAGAACGCAGCCGCCAGACTCCTCACCCACACCAAATCATGGCATCACATCACCCCGGTCCTCAAAGAACTCCACTGGCTTCCCGTCTCACACCGCATTCACTACAAACTCCTGGTCCTCACCTATAAAGCCCTCCACCATCTGGCCCCCCCCTACCTCACTGACCTCCTCATCCTCTACCAACCACCCCAGTCCCTCAGATCCACCTCAGCCGGTTTGCTCTCAATCCCCAAGGCCAAACTCCGGAGCTTCGGGGACAGAGCCTTCTCTGTG